GGGTTAAGTAGACCCAAAATATTATATAAATCAAAAGTTTACTATTTTAATGCAGGCAAAAGTTGACGGTAAAGATGTCTGAACGTCTGGCGGGAATATTTGTGCGTGTACCTCCAAGCCTCGTCGATAATTTGTAAGTAATAGGGGGTGAATAATTTGAAGCGTCGTGACACATAAACACTACTACAATTACCCATCAGGGGGAGATAATTTAGTAGTCCTGTTTATTGTTACTTTTTATTAGGTTTTCCGTTTATTGTTACTTTTTATTAGGTTTTCCGTTTATTGTTACTTTTTATTAGGTTTTCCGTTTATTGTTACTTTTTATTAGGTTTTCCGTGTTACTTTTATTAGGTTTTCCGTTTGTTACTTTATTAGGTTAGGTTTTCCGTTTATTGTTACTTTTTATTAGGTTTTCCGTTTATTGTTACTTTTTATTAGGTTTTCCGTTTATTGTTACTTTTTATTAGGTTTTCTGTATTTCTTTTTATTGAGTAGCTTTTGTACTAATGTTTATAATTTGTATTAAAGGAAGGGGAATATTATGGATTGTCACCTGATGTTGCTGAGAACGAACTTTGTGATGTATTAAGTGGTTGTGCTACAATAAATCAGACATATTTATCTCTATTTTATCTCTATTAAATCAGGACTGAACGGAGTATTGCCTGTTTGTAATATGTCTCAGTGAAGTACAAACACGAGATGCTATCTAACTAACTGTCCCAGGTCTACGTGTTAGGAATACTGTCTTTATGCTCTTCACTAGACTACGGAGATATTCACTGCAACTAACCTCTGCAGCGATTGTTTTGTGTGCAGTGGTTGTTTTGGCGTTGCAGCAATTGATTTGGCGTTGCAGCTTTTATTTTGGTTTTCGGGTGGAAAAATAGTATACCTTTAACAATAGACTTATGTGTGAACGAGAGATTAAGAGTTACGACACGGTGTACAGTGTGTATATGTGTCGGAATATATCAGTTGGAAGCTCCCTATGACAAAATTGATCACAATAATGGAGTTTGGAGACTATAATGTGTTGGGGTAGAGCGGGAAGTTGGTGGATTAGATCATAGATGACATGCTTGACAAAGAGGGGTGGTGGATGGGCGCCAGGGAAAGCGTGCGTCAGTGAGGGTGCCTGTCAGGGGGGAGCATGCATCAAGGAGGGTGTTTGTCAGGGAGAGCGTGCGTCAGGGAGATCGTTCGTCAGGGAGTGTGTTCGTCAAGATAACCAACATTAAAAGCAAAGCAAAAAACTAACAGCTCAGGCAGAGAGGAGGGGTTAAGGATAGCGAGATACAACAAGGAATTATTTAAAAATGTTCGCTAAATGTCTTCGTATTGAGAGAACTCGCTTAGCAAGAGTTCTTGGTTGGACAATGGTTCAGTAAACGCCACGACATAATGAAAGAATAATATATGGGACTCCTATATACAAATGTACAAGGTGGACGCGTTAAATGTTATGAAAGAATTTAAGAGGCACATACATACATACATACATACATACATACATACATACATACATACATACATGCTTACATATACATGCTTACATATACATGCATACATATACAGCATACATATACATACATCCATACATACATATACATACATACATACTTATACATAAATACATACCGGTAAATATATACTGTACACGTCATCAAACATTATATCTGCTCCGCCTCTCCCTAAGGAAACGTGTCATTAGGGTTAATTACATGATTAAGGCATATTATGTAATTAAGCAAATTACCAAAGCCCCACCTCACCATGGCTCCAGACGACGTGATTATACTGACTGGGAAGACGTGGTGTTGGGTGGCCACCTTAACCTGCCTCGTGTAGTTAGTGGTGTTTAGCCTTGATGTCTGCCTGCTGCTGCCTCCGTTTACCGCTAATGCCTTGATACTTACGCGGTGGTTTAGGTTAGGTTGGGTTGGGTGAGGGTAGGGTAGGGTAGGTTAGGTTAGGTTAGGTTGTTCAGACTTCTAAAACACCTACCGTAATATGTCTGTGTATGTGCGTATATGTGTAAGCGCGTATGTGTGCGTGTGTGTACCTGCACGAGAACGCATTCCACAGATTCTCTATTCATTAACCAGTCAGTAATCATTAGATATTCACACCTTACATTCATTTAGTGGAGCATACTGTACACGTGGACTCACCTGGCAGACGGGTCGTGTGGGCTGGATAGGTGACTAATGGTACGAGAGGTGACTGACCCAGCCATCACTCGGTACAGGATATTGATCTTTGGGGAAATACACTGATAAACGGTACTACAAATAATTGATATAGTATTACCGGATACTGTATAATATGTACGCCGTAAACTTCATGGTGAGCTTAATATTTCCACGGTGATATTTCTTGGTGTGTATACATGATAATTTTGACGACTCCGTGTGTTTATATGTATTTGAACTGTATGTTAGCGTGTCCCAGGCGTGTCTTCCCAGGGCTGTAACAAGGACCTATCCCTACCACCTGCTGATTCTTATTTGCCTCTTATGGTTATTTTCAGCTCCTGTGGGATATTTTAGGCGCTGCCACTATAAACATGGGGTTTAATGTTTAGTATTTACCTAGTGAGCGGCCCAGGTAGAGAGACTGACCACACGCCCCCACCTAACCTAAACCAACCTAACCTAAGCCAACCTAACCTAAACCTAACCCAACCTAAACCTAACCCAACCTACTCAGCTTCTGTGTCTCGCGGTACGATTTTTACGATCTTTTTTCTTTCTTCGGGTACGCTATTAAAATGTCTGTGGAATGTGTACTCGTGTGCCTTGCTGGTCTGTGCGCGTGTGTGAGTGTGTGTGTGCGTGTGTGTGAGAAATAGTGTTTTCGAAGTTCATTATCCAGTATGAAGGGGAGACTTATGAGAGGCCCTTCACCCACGCTCTGGGAAGATGATGAGGAGGAGGAGGTAGGGGTAAGGGTGGTGCAGAGGTGTAGGTGAGGGAGGCGCGTAGGTGAGGGTGAGTGTACGAGGGAAGGGTGCGGCGGTGATAACATGCGGCACGTGTCTTATGGCCAGGGAAACAGAGTAGCTTACCTTGGGCTACAGATACACGTATATGCCAACGTTGCCTCTCACCTCACAGCTTTACTCACCAATTTTCTGTCCACCTTATCAGACGTAGTGAGGATTAGTGTTAGTAAGGGAAGTACTGTACTAACACCTGCGTCATCAATACCTGTACCAACACCTGCGTCATCAATACCTGTACCAACACCTGCGTCATCAATACCTGTACCAACACCTGCGTCATCAATACCTCTAATAAAAGTAACACCATCAACACCCACCAACATCCTTCCTTCCTTCCTTCCTTCCTGTAAGCTTATCACCACCCACCACCACACCATCCCCCCCTCAATCCATTCCATACTCTAATCACCCACCCACTCCCTCCCTCCCTCCCTCAAACCCACCCCTATACACTTATCAGCCACCACCACCACCCCCCCCTCACCACAACGTTTCCAAGATTAACCCCGTGTTCGATTCCTCTCCAAACACCTGGTGGCAACGACCTCCGTCACCTGGGCGTGAACACTTTCTCCTGTCTCTGGCCTCCTGTCTAACTACTTGGGCGGCTTATTGCCTACCACCGTGTGTGCTTATAGGTCCACGGGGGGGGAGGGAGTTAGGGCCATAATGGGGGTTTAGTTAGGGCCATAATGGGTTGTAGTTAGGGCCATAATGGGGTGTAGTTAGGGCCATAATGGAGTGTAGTTAGGGCCATAATGGAGTGTAGTTAGGGCCATAATGGGGTTTAGTTAAGCTTCATGTAAGTGTAGATTGGAACATGGTTAGCTAGGATTATGAGGAGCTTTAGCTAGGGTTATTCTAGGCTCTGGTAGGTTATGGTAGGTTGTGGAAGGCCCTGGTAGGTTGTGGAAGGCTCTGTTGGTTTGTGGAAGGCTTTGGTAGGTTGTGGAAGGCTCTGGTAGGCTGTGGAAGGCTCTGTTGGTTTGTGGAAGGCCCTGGTAGGTCGTGGAAGGCTCTGGTGGGTCGTGGAAGGTTCTGTTGGTTTGTGGAAGGCTTTGGTAGGCTGTGGAAGGCTCTGGTAGGCTGTGGAAGGCTCTGTTGGTTTTGTGGAAGGCCCTGGTAGTTGTCGTGGAAGGTTCTGGTAGGCTGTGGAAGCTCTGTTGGTTTGTGGAAGAGCTCTGGTAGGTGTGAAGTCTCAGGTGGGTCGTGGAAGGCTCTGTTGGTTTGTGGAAGGCTCTGGTAGGTTGTGGAAGGTTCTGGTAGGTTGTGGAAGTCTCAGGTGGGTCGTGGAAGGCTCTGTTGGTATGTGGAAGGCTCTGGTGGGTTGTGGAAGGTTCTGGTAGGTTGTGGAAGTCTCTGGTAGGCTGTGGAAGGCTCTGGTGGGTTGTGGAAGGCTCTGGTGGGTTGTGGAAGGTTCTGGTAGGCTGTAGAAGGCTCTGGTGGGTTGTGGAAGGTTCTGGTAGGCTATGGAAGGCGTCTCCTTATGGGAAGTAACCACAATCGTCCTTCTTCGTATTATTCTCCTCAAGCGTTATATATATGCTTTTTTATCTTAAATAATTATATAAAGATACAAATAAATAAAATAAATAACTGAAGTTTTCCTATATATTTTAATACAATCATTCGTCTAGCTCACTGGTTCCCAAACTGGGGGCCATGGCCCCCCCAGCAAAATTTAGGTGGCCATAAGCTGAGGCTATGTACACATAAAAATCCCAAGCCCCACCACACTAGAACAGCCAGTCAGCAGCTGAGCCAGCCAGAGATATGGATTGGGAGAGGGGGGCCATGGATAAGGATCATATATGAAAAGTGGGTAATGATCAGAAAAAGTTTGGGAACCACTGCTAGCTATATGTTAAATGAGGTTAATATAGATAAACTGGAGACTGGGAAAGAGAGTTAATATTTCCACGATTTGGTAAATAATTTGTAAGTGTGGTAATGGCCATCTGTGTGTGATGTGTTCTCTTTTATTTTACAGGTGGTGTCAGGCGGGGCGGGTTGGGTCGGCTGTGACGAAGCTGGTCTTGTTATTGCCTTGGGGACGGAAACCACCACCACCTGCCCCAACCCATATCTTCATTACACAACTCACAACATTGAGCACTAAGCTATATTAATGTTGAAATACATGTATGGAATAGTACTTTTATACACAAGCAATACTCTACAACAACACCTACACATAAGCTGACATTTACACCTAGCACAGTCTAGACGTGAGATACCCTGAAGCACTGATACTATCATAACACACAACTCTAAGCTAACACCAACAGCTAACATCAAAACAATCACTCGAGGTGCTGGTGTGTTATACGTGCCACCAGTAGCAACGTAGGGATATTAACACCAAGAACAATAGGGGCACCAGTATCACCACTACCATCATCATCACAAGGGGTATCAACATCACCACTACCAGCATCACCATCAGCAGCAGGCGACGACCACGGGGCATCAGGTGTGTGAGCGTGGCGTGAGTGTTGGTGATGGCGGCAGTGCAGACGGTAACCAGGATGCCAGCAGGCCCCGCGGAGCTGCCACCAGGTAGGTCGATAATCCTCTTGTCTGGTCCAACACAGTCTTCTCCTATTGACTGTTGTAGCTATTAACTAGTCGGTTTTGTCTGTAAAATGTATAAATGTAGAGTCAGGGTTTAAAGTTCACTCCCGGCCAAAATGAAGCCGCTTCGACCCCCAAATGAAGCAGTGTCGGCCCCAAATGAAGCAGTGTCGGCCCCAAATGAAGCAGCTTCGACCACCAAATGAAGCCGCATCGACCCCAAATGAAGCAGCATGTACCCCAAAATGAAGCACCTTCGACCCCAAATGAAGCAGCATCGATCCCCAAATGCGATGAAACAGTCAGGGTGGGGGGGTTAAGTCAGTTCAGAGAGTCATTCCCTTGACTCCGTTTCACCACGAGTTGTGAACTTTTGTCCCCGACTATACAAACATTACTGTTAGATTATTATTTAATTTATAATATAAAAAAAAACACAAAATTATACATTCTATACGGTCTTAATATCTCAATCTTGTCTAAACTTCAAAATTAAAACGTGATAGTAACGTGTTCATGAGAGAAACCGGTTTATCTGGTGTTTTAAAGGTGTTTTATCTCGCTATGAAACCACGTGCGTCTTTGTTGTCATTGGTAGGTGAGCCGTTGTCATAGTAACGCCAAGATCACCCAAACACTGCCACCAATTAGCCAGGTCGACCCGCTGGTGTAGCCCTCCTCCACCTTCACGATGTATTTGAAGTGTTTGGTGATGTTTTGGTAGAGAGAGAGAGAGAGAGAGAGAGAGAGAGAGAGAGGAACATAAGAATGGAGGAAACTGCAGTGGGCCTATTGGCCCATACTGGGCAGTCCCATTTACACCCAACCCCCATTGCTCATATAAGCATCCAACCTATGTTTGAAGCTATCCAGCGTATTCGAGTTAATGATGATATTTGGTAACTTGTTCCATTCATCAACTACTGTTTCCAAACCAGTGTTTACCTATTTCCCGCCTAAATCTAAATTTGTCTAATTTAAAACCATTGTTACGAGTTCGCTCCTGAGTGGATAGCTTGAGTACCTTTGTAACGTCCCCTTTGTTTAGCCCTGACTTCCATTTATACACCTCTATCATGTTGCCCCTCGCTCTACGTCTCTCGAGGGAGTGCAAATTAAGGTGCTTTAACCTGTCTCTGTACTCAAGGTTCCTAATGCCCGGGATTGGTCTTGTCATTCTCCTCTGGATTCTTTACACTGATATATATATATATATATAGAGAAAGAGGGGGGGAGGGGGGAGGGAGATTGACAGAAAGATAGTGACGAAGAGAAAGACAGACGGAGATATACAGATAATACTCAAATATTCTCACCTTCTCCACAAAAGGAAATATAAAACCATGATCTTATACATGTAATGAGAAATGGAGTAAAGGTAAAGACAGACAGGTGAGAAGGAGACAAATTAAAGGTATAATTTCAAGGTGTTGATATTATTCTATTTATTGTTCCTTAAAGTTCATTATTTTTTTATTTTGCGATGTAAGGTTTTCCGTCAAGCTTAGAATTGAAAGTTATAAGTATTTTCAAGCTTACGTGTGAGCAGCTTTATTTTGAGGGTGAAGTGAATTTTTACGTAAACTTTGTTCAACTTGTTTATCGGTCATCAGATTTAAATGTCTGAGGGGGGGGTGCAAGAGACCTTCTTTCCCAGGGCCCCAAGAAACGTAGATTAGGGCCCCCAAGAACCCGTGTGAGGAGTTGGGGCTGGGAAGTGACTCTGTAAGGGAGGGTAAATCTGATAGATGGCCAGGTGGTAGTAGGTGGGTGGTGGTGGTCTTGGTAGGTAAGTAGGTGATGGTGTGGGAAGGAAGGTGGTAGGTGGTGGTGGTAGTAGTACAGGTGGAAATGATGTGTACATGGTGTGTCCTGTTTATGGTAGAGATCACACACACACACACACACACACACACGAGAGAGAGAGAACAGGTCACAGGTGGACTAGACAGTTATGTAGGCTAATCCCGGTAATACTGGGTGGTGGTCAACAAACGGGGTCGCTTCCCTCCCTTCCCTTTCCCCCTTTCCACCACACACATATTTCTCTTCCTGTTGACAATCCTTACCAACTTTTTCCCCTGTCGTATTTACCTGTTCGTGTAGGTAATTATTCGAACTAATTTATTTCCATTTTTTTTATCATTATTTTTTCTTCACATCATCAAGAATACAATTAAGTGTCCAGTAATTATACAAAAAATGACCTCACTCACCTAACCCACTTCATTCCACCACCTTCACCCCACCCACCTCTCCCCACCTCCTCACCCACCTCCCACCACCTCTCCACCCCCCCTCCCACCCCACCACACTCGCCCACACACCCACCTACCCACCCCACCTCACCTCACCCAGCAGTCATGTTACGTAGCCTCACTTGACATGTTGAGTCTCGCCCCTCCCAAGAATGCAGGTATTGACACGAGGTTCCCATGGCTACTAAAATATGGACGTGTGGAATTACTTAACGACTGGTACACGTGTCCAGCGGTGTAACATTAGGACACGTGTTAGCTATATAGTGAACCTCAAAGATACATGTTCTACAGTGAGCCAGACATATTATTTGCAATGAGCCACAAAGGAATATCACCTACAACGAGCCAGAAATATGAACCTGGCTCTTATCTTCATCAGTGACCCCCCTCCGTCCAGTGTGATTGCAAAGACACACCCACACCACATACCTTTAACCTCTGACACACACACACACACACACACACACACACACACACTCACTCACCACACTCATCTATGCTTCCAAGTGATTTTTTTCCCATTGATGATATACTTAAACTACCGGGTATACCAGTTAAAAGGTTTATTAATATATAAACCGGTTTATATATCATGGTACTGGGTATATTACTTAATGTTGTGGTTACTGTTTATAAGGTTATTGTGATGGGTTGTTAGGAGGGGGGGTGTGTATGAGGGCTGGAGTGTGCGTATGAGGGCTGGAGTGTACGTATGAGGGCTGGAGTGTACGTATGAGGGCTGGAGTGTACGTATGAGGGCTGGAGTGCATGTATGTATGGGGCTGGATGTATGTGTAGTGCATGTATGAGGGCTGTGGTGTATGTATGGGGGCTGGAGTGTATGTATGGGGCTGTGGTGCATGTACGTATGAGGCTGGGTGTACGTATGAGGGCTGGGTGTGTGCTGCTGAGGTGCTGGAGTGTGCTGGAGTGTACTGGGTGTGGTGAGGGTGGAGGTGTACGTGTGGGGGCTGGAGTGTGCATGTATGGAGTGGCTGGAGTGTAGGGGCTGGAGTGTACGTGTGAGGGCTGGAGTGCTGGAGTGTATGTATGAGGGCTGGAGTGTATGTATGAGGGTCAACTCCATAATAACTAATGTGGAAAGTTTATCAAAGAAGCATTAATTTTTTTCCCTAGGTCAGGTCATGTTAGGTTACGATGGGTTAGGTTTGGGTAGGTTAGGTTAGGTTTGATTAATTTAGGTTGGGTTAGGTTAATGAGAACTCAGGTGGTGGTGTTTTTATTATTATTAAAGCACCTGGACTTACCCGTTTGGTGGGTAGTGTGGTAAACCGCACGTTATCTCTCTCTCTCTCTCTCTCTCTCTCTCTCTCTCTCTCTCTCAAGGGGTTAAATAATCGCAATCAAGGAGTTAAGACATTGTACTCAAAGGGTTATGTCATCGTACTCAAGGGGTTAAATAATCATACTTGAGGATTTTAAAGCAGAATAAAATCGTGTAGAAAAATTCAGGTATAACAATAATATAGACAGGTAAATTATGTGTTTCTTCCAGGTAAGTTTGAGAAGGTCAGGGGAGATATGGCTGGGCACACACACACACACACACACACACACACACACACACACACACAGTTCCTCCAGTATACATAACATTAATATTAAATCACCTAAAAATATTCTCTTAATTACTCTTCTTTAATCTTTAAGTTAACATGTAAACACTCTGCCACAGTCTTATGATAAAAGAAAAATTACTAAGCATTATTACCATCATCATTCCACCGCCATCATGCCTGTAACTCGTAAGATCTCGGTAACGTGTTGGGTGGCGTGAGTGTATCGTAAACTGGAAGGAAAATATCTTGAATTCTGGATGGTAACTTTTTGTGGGAGGTAGTGTGGTGTAGGGTGAGTGAGGCAAGATAGCAGGCAGGCAGGACAGCAGGGTGAGGAGACAGGACTGAAAACTTGGGCGCCAGGCTCCAGCTTCCTGCCTGAGGGGAGTGAGTCACCGGGCCGTGCAGGGGCTTGTGTTGACACCTTGCCAAGCTTCCCCCCACTCACCACCCCCTCCTCCCTCTCACCCCCCTCCTCCCCTCACCACCCCCTCCTCCCTCTCACCCCCTCCTCCCCTCCACCCCCCCTCTAGACCTTACCCTCAACCTCCTTGCATATAGTATTGTATCTCTTCCCTCCCCGGTAACTCCAGGTAGATCGATATCCAAGATGGCTTTAACCAAGACGAAGAGGGCGGGAGTTATTGGTCTTTGCTTCCTCTAGTTGGCAACTACACGTCTCTCCCTTAGCCTTAAAGAAACTTGTAACCATAGTAAGATATTCGACCTGAGATTGTAGGTTTTATTCTGGTTTATGTCTCAAGTTATACGCCCACATCTTCCCGGACAATGGACTGTGGTTCACCCTTCCAGTAGACATAGTCCCCCCGCGGCGCCGCCTCCTCCCACCTCCTGCTGGTAACACTACAGGTTGTGGAACGTGTTAGGACAGAGGTCTTGCACTCTAGTTACCACACATGATCTTCAGGAATATTTAAACTGAAACACAAAACAGGAAAATACATAAATAATACCGGGATTCCATTTTTTTATATATTCTTCCTGTTGTTGTTGTTGGTTGTAATAAATTTATAACCTAAGGATAAGTTATTGGTGGGTTTTTTAAAGTTCTAGATCGATTTGTGGTTACTGATGCTGGCGCTCACATGGTTTGGGGATGAAATCTTCTTTTGTGTGTGGTACAAGCGATGGAGAGTTGAGGGAGATATTTGAGTTGGTCCATCACAGGTCACACAGTAAACAGGTCACAGGTCACACAGTAAACAGGTCACAGGTCACACAGTAAACAGGTCACAGGTCACACAGTAAACAGGTCACAGGTCACACAGTAAACAGGTCACAGGTCACACAGTAAACAGGTCACAGGTCACACTGTATACAGGTCACAGGTATGTAATGCTTAAATAATGTGTATGTAATCACTATTGAACTTGACCTTTTGATCTTGACCACCTCCAAAAAGTACCAACATTAGTTCATCTCTGACGTATTAGTTCTGCAGGTCAGGTAAACAGTGACATGATTACAGGTGTGTGGTGGACAATAATAGAACCAACATTTCCATTCAGACAACCAGGTGAGTAGACAGTGTTAGGTCATCTCATTAGCACCTGGCTTGCGTAATATATTTTAAGAATAGATTTTTGATGAGTTTGATTTTAATTATTATTATTTTTTAAGTTTGAGAGGAACAGGTGGCTAGAATAGACAACAATAAACTAGAAGGTGTAAAGATAATGAACTAGGAGTGTGGTGGTGGTGGGTGACATAAGCAACGGCGTAAAAACTACCACACATGTTTACTTTACATACGTGTAGAAATCTTGACACTTGTATATATATGGCAAACTAAAAAAATAATTTCTCTCCTTAAAACATATATATGTAAATCGTAGTTTATACAAGAGGAAATAAAACTATTAATATTACTGATAAATACCATAATGACCACGCTGCCTCCTTGTATACCGAAAGCTTAGTACGCAGTGTGCTATATCCGCGCTGCCTCTTAATTGGTTGCCGGGTCACTGTTGCTCATTTAAACTTGTGTTATTTGTCCGTGAGAGGAAGAGAAGATTCTAATAATGATGTTTTTCCTCCCTCGATCATCACTCTGGCTCAGTCTCAGAGTATCGCCCTCGGCACAGTAAGTGATTCTTGGTTGTGTGTGTGTTTGAGCATGTATTTGTGTGTGTGTGTGTGTGTATGTATACTTGTGTGTGTATACGTGTGTGTGTGTGTGTGTGCGTGCATGTATTTTCATACAGTATACAATGATACATCATATACATGTATCACTTCATGCCTGGTGTGAATTTATACACATATGACTACATAACCGTAATGTTTGGGCCACTCTGTAATGACTGTACCGTTGTGTTAATACAGTTACTAATGTCTTGTGTATTTTTTAAAACATGAAATGCTAATAGAATGCATTTCATAACGTATACACTGTCAGTTTATCTTATTACGTGTGTGTGTGTGTGTGTGTGTGTGTGTGTGTGAATTCATGCATGTGCTCATAAGTGGTGAAACAGTATAATCAAAAGACCATTTACTGCACTGTTGAGAGTTTTGACACATTATTACTTCGCATTAAAACAAACCCGACTGAATAAACTGTATAACTATGGTCTTAAGTTATTATCAGTTCACCGTATTGTTTTTTCCATACACACATACTGTCAGCTTAACCGTATATATATATATAAAAATATATATATATATATATATATATATATATATATATATATATATATATATATATAAAAATATACTTCCCGTGTACCCAGCTTGATAATACACACGTGTTTGGGTATTCTGTAGTAACACGTAATATAGCATCTCACCACTTACTGTCGCCTCTCTGTGACCTATACGAGTGTAATGTATAGTTATCTGTAAATTCTAGAAATTCTCTCATTGTAATCAGTAGCCTTTTCCATTATTATACTTACCACATTTTGAGTATTATTGTAGCCTCTATTAGCCTACTCTGTGGTGGTGGTGGTGAAGACTTATAGACTTCACAACCTGTACCTCGGAGTGTAGTCCTGTAATGTATTTTATCATAACCTCAATAAGACCTGCACCTTCACAGCCTGCTTCCTATTGTAGCTCCTTTACAGCCTGTATCTCCTTCTGTAACCTTATAACAGCTTGGGTCTTACTATAGTCCTCCTTGTAATCTGGCCCTTTCTGTAACCCGTTTTCTGTACCCCCCTTTCCGTATTCCTCCTTCTGTAACCCCCTTCTATAACCTTTATCCCCTTCTGTAATCCATAACCTGTATCCCCCTTCTGTAATCCCCGTTCTATAACCTGTATCCCTTTCTGTAACCCCTTTCTATAACATGTATCCCCTTCTGTAACCCCCTTCTGTAACCCCCTTCTGTAACTCCCCTTCTGTAACTCCCCTCCTGTAACTCCCCTCCTGTAACTCCCCTTCTGTAACTCCTTCTGTAATCCCCTTCTGTAATCCCCTTCTGTAACTCCTTTCTGTAACTCCCCTTCTGTAACCCCCTTCTGTATCACACTCCTGTATCCCCCTACATTAAAGTCTCTCCATACATCACCTACATTAAAGTTATCTGTGGTCTTGTTTTCCCCCCAGAGTACCCGGACGAGAGCCAAACGACGCTCCTGCCATGTACCATCTGCAACAGGACCTTCAACCCTCAGGCGCTAGACCGTCACAGGAAGGTGTGCGAGAAGCTCTCCTCCAGAAAGCGAAAGGTTGGTTCGTCTCGTTGCAGTGTGTTCCTCGTTAGTGTATCGTACCACTGGGATCACTGTTAGGATGGGGGTTGTGTGTGGGGTGGGGGGGGGTGGGGGTGGTTTGTGTGTGTTTGAACAGTTTGTGGTGATTTAGTGAAGAGTGGTTCAAAGGTTAGTTCATATGACCTAACCAAAGTGTTACCCTGATTTAACCTCAAGTCCTAATCTGACTTAGTGACTTAATTAACCTATCCTAACCTTATAAAAACACGTCATTCATAACACACATACGAACTGTGACATCGTGATTCTTTCTGATTCATATGTATGTTATTCACTTGTTGTTATTCATATGTATGTTATGTATAAAGTATTCAGTATAAATGTCTTTGCGTGTTATTGTATATGTTGTGTTTAGTGAAAGAGTTTGTTATATATGGTAATAATCCTGTTGATATAATGATAGATGTTAGTATAGTGAAGTCTCTGTATAACGGATTCTCGATATAACGGACTTTTATCTTTATAGTTCGTTAGATGTGGGGGGTTCATATTTAAAGGACTCGATATAACGGACTTTATATATTCCGTTAAATAGAGGTTTCACATCTAACAGACCCTCGATATAACGGATTTTCTTCTCCATATAGTCCGTTAAATAGAGGTTTCACATCTAACAGACCCTCGATATAACGGATTTTCTTCTCCATATAGTCCGTTAAATAGAGGTTTCACATCTAACAGACCCTCGATATAACGAATTTTCTTCTCAATATAGTCCGTTAAATAAAGGATCCACTGTTTTCTCGGGTCAGCACATGATTAATATTGGTTAATGTTGAATGTAGTGTTTTATTAATGTTTTATTTATGTATGCATCAAGTTCTCAACATATTTAACACGGTAGGTTATGAGTTATGACCACGAGTTGTGTTTTTACCCGTTTGTTTACTTTAGCTATACAGTGGTGCCACATCTCACCATGCACTATACACAGGTTATGCCACATTATAACAACAGTGCCATCTTTTGTGCTCTGGGGTGCTACATTAATCACATTTGTGTCATATGGTATTGAGATGGTGACACATGTTCAGTTGTGACACGTGTTCAATAGACACACATGGTTGTTCATTATTGACACCTGTTAATTTTTGGAGTGGATACTTTTTTTTTTGCAGTGATATACAATTTTGTTCAGTGTAATACGTTTTTGTTCACTGGTGATACATGTTTGTTTTTGTACGGTAATGGCGTTAAATTCAGTGAACATATATTAATTTATTAATTTGTTGATTTTTTAGTAGAGCCACATATTCTAAGTAGTGCCACATGATATTAAGTAGTGCCACATGGATTTTAAGTAGTGCCACATGCTTTTAAGTAGTAACATGGATTTTCAGTAGTGCCACATGGATTTTTAGTAGTGCCACATGCTTTTAAGTAGTGTCACATGATTTTTAGTAGTGCCACATATTTTAAGTAGTGCCACATATATTTATAGTAGTGGCACATTTATAGTAACATTATTATTTACAGTGGTACCAGATTATTTACAGTTGTCAGAATTTTTACAGTGGTACTACATTTTAATATAGTGGTGCTACAAGTCACTTTTTTCCAATGTAGTAGTGCATGTCATTCCCTACAGTGGTGCCAAGTTTTTTTCCTACATTGGTGCCACACTTTATTTTGTGCACAGTTGGGGACCATAATTATTTTGCACTGGATTTTTGCATATTTATTTACACTCTTAGACACTGGTGCTACAAATTAGTCTACAAAATGGTATCCCGTAGCTTAGTCATCTACAAGGGCAAGTTTACACCGTGGTATTAGTGTGCATAATAGTATAGTATGAACGGATCAGTTTACATTTTGATACTACAAATTAATATAGGTTCTGGTATTAGAAGTTAGTTTACGTGGTGGTACTCTAAATTGGTCTTCACGCTGGTATTAAAGTTGGTATATTAAGCGATGGTGTGGTACCAACTAGTAATAGGAACTCTAGTACCAGATTAGTGTACACAGTATTGTTATTGTTGATTTTATATAATGGTGTCATAGGTTAGTTTACATGGTCATAATACATAGTTTAATCTGGTTCCATATGTTAGTCTACAGAATGGTACTGTACACACACAGGTTATTTTAGCACAATGTTCACTCAACTCACTATGAAAGCAACGCGAGATGAACGAATGTGTTGAGAAAGTAAAACAATATAATTAACTCATAAAACAGGGAAATTTGCTGGACCTTAATAAAAACTGAGGTAGACAGTACCAAGTAATATGCTTTAGTTAGTCCAGGAAAGATGTCCAATACATTTTTGACGACCACCAACCTGACTAGTGACCACCCGCTGGACACTGTCTGGGCGTGTCCCTGATGATCCCTGTGTGAGGTCATGGTGTGGTAAGGTCCGCCACTGCTGCACCGAGGGAATGTGTCCTAAATACATATTATCGGACTAAGGGCAGATGACCTCACTGGCCAGTCCATTGACACTCACTCTGGGATAACTGTTTCTACCTGATCCTGAAGTAGTGATCTTTCTTTAGAGGCGTACACACACATACACACACACACACAGGCGTCACTATAGGACAATTTAATTCACCTATGGTGTGTGGTCATAATAATTCCTAATCATTCATGAATTTGATATGGCAACTCATGTGTGTCAAATGAAACAAGTTTTCCTCGATTTTTTTTACAATGTATATCTGTATTTGTGTACGCGTATGTAACTTTGCCCACACATTATTTTACATATTTTTGCGACACGTTCAACAGTACATTAGTGCCACATGGTAAATAGGTAGTGCCACATGTTAAATAGGTAGTGCCACATGTTAAATAAGTAGTGCCACATGCTAGACAGGTAGTGCCACTCATGGTAAATAGGTTAAGTAAATAGTCACAGTAAACGCATTAAACTGTAAGGTAGTGCCACATGTCTACACCTAGAGTCGTGCCACCTGGTGTAAGTAATCACTGCCTTGTACTGTAGTGTGTCACAGCGCTGACGTCACCATTATTTACTAGATGTCTAATGTAGCTTTGTTTCTCTCTCCCGCACCTCAGAAAACTTCCTCATCAAACGTAAGTGTATCGTGTGTGTGTGTGTGTGTGTGTGTGTGTGTGTGTGTGTGTGTGTGTGTGTGTGTGTGTGTGTGTGTGTGTGTGTTAGGACGGACATGTCGTAGTTTACAGATTTGTGTTGTGTTGTGGTGGTGATTACAGGTGTGAGGCACAAGAACAGGTAAGTACTGTACGAGCAGGAGAGGACTGACAGACGTACATCACACAGCAACAATATAATGAAAACAAAATCATTGTCCGAGTAATAAGGACAAACTACGACAGACTGAAACTGGGACCATAATTCACTCCTCTCTCTCTCTCATTTTACTTTCATTTAATAATTTTACGTAATTTCTCTTCCTGTTCTCTTCACATCTACGTATAACATCTTCTGTCTTATATAGAAACTTGTGATCATAAGTAATGGTGGTTAATGGAGGGAGGGAATCCATGCTAGTAATGTGTTTGAGGTGTGTGTGTGTGGGGTCCAGTAGGCACAGAGACACCGAGAGTTATTATGACCGTAGTAAGGTAACAACACCAGGTAGACCATAGAGGGGCGGGGAAGACGTGTTGGAGGTCTACCATGTTTGATTAGTCACACCTGTCCCTGCATACTCTTACCACACTGCCCCAACATACCCTCACCTGCCCCATCATACACCAACCAATATTTTCTTTGTTAATCTCTCGTGTGTGTGTGTGTGTGTGTGTGTGTGTGTGTGTGTGTGTGTGTGTGTGGTGACCCTGAATGGGCTTCCTACTGTCGTCACCTCACGTAAACATCTCCACTGTTTATTATACTTTCAGGTCACAAACAAAATTGCATATCTCACTTTCCTGATTCACACTTCAGATAATTGCATGAGGACGCTTCCTACCTCCTGCTTTAATAACTCTCTACCTCCTTTACCTATCATCGTTTATTGACTTTATCCTGGTGTATAATTCCTTTTTGTATTATAGAGGGTGATCAAAAAGTCCCTGTGCACCTATGATAATATGTGCTATAGTTTTTCCCGTTTACTGTAATTGGAATTATTTATCACAGGTGCACAGGGACTTTTCGATCACCGTGTAATGTTTGGGACAAGTCGTTGGTAGAAGATATTATGGTGGTGTTCCTCATCTTTCTCTCCTCATTACCCTCAAACTTCCTCATTCATTTAAGTACAGAGGGAAAAAAAATGAGAGTTGTATTTTTGTATCTGACCGAAGAGGCTCGACGTATCCTTGAAGATATCCCAGACAGAAACAGACAGACAACCTGTATATATCTTGTGTACATCATCTCATCCTCGTTATCACAGACCTTCGACTCGACCAAGCAGCGAGTGGACGGGCTGGACCTACCCTTGGGAGTACCCGGTCGAGGAAAATCACCTGAACGCAAGACCAACCCGAAGAGCAAGTCCAAATGGAGAGAGAAGCACCAGGAGTTCCTCAGGGCCATACGGGCAGCCAAGGGTATCACAGGTGAGAGAGAGAGAGAGAGAGAGAGAGAGAGAGAGAGAGAGCTATCTGACGAAGTAGCTGAAGGTGGAGTACGGGAGTGAGAGGGGTAGGGAAGGAAGGGTGATGGATCCCTGTGGGTGAGGAGATGTAGAGAATATGAAGGAAAGGTAAGGGTCAAGTCATTTAGGGGAGGCAGGGTCAATGGAGTAAGGGGGACAGGTAAGATAGGGTTAATTAAGCAAGGTAAGGCAGGGTTTAAAGCAAGACAAGGTTAATGAAGCAAGCAAGACAGACGGACAGGACAGGTAAGGAAGGAGGTACTGAGATAACAACATTCCAGCACTACGGTAGACAGACGCATTTAATTATGTATATTTACAAGACCCTGTGTCGGTGTCATGTGATATTCAGGTAGTGTGGCCTTGTGTACGTGCCCTGGCTACACTATACAGGTAATTCAGGTGTGTGGAGGGGGAGAGTCTTGTGCAGTGCGATTGAATGAGATGAGAGAAGCTGTATCAGTGTATTAACATCAACACCCTCCCGCCGAGTCCTGTAACACCATAACTTACAACGATCACCTGAAGAATCTGTAACCCAAGCTTATTTCACCTGAAGATTAACCACCCTAACGCTATTTTGGGGGTAGAGGAAGTTAAAAGGGAAGTTAGCGTTAGGGTGAAATTAGCTTGGGTTGGTAATTCATCAGGTGATCTGTTTACTGTTATTTGTGTCAATAGTGTATAGAAAGACCTGGATCATCACTGGTGTTGAGTTTAGATAATGAGTCAAGGTTTATATTTTGCATTACGTCAATAAGTTTGTGTGTTTGTGCATCAGATGGGGACGATGGGAGCGGGGGTCTACCAGTGTCCAACATTCCTTCCGACTATAACCAGTGCCCCCATTGTGAGCGACACTTCGGACCCAAGGCAGCAGACCGTCACATCAACTGGTGTCGCGAGAAGAGCAATCGAGTCCCTAGATCACCCGCTGACAACCAGGCCGTGGAGCGTCTCAAGTCCCGCACTAAGGTAGGTCTTATTGATGAGGTCTTAGGTCAGGGGGGGGGGGAAGGTCTTGGGTTCACGTCTCGTTAATATGATGTAGTTTAGCTTGTCGGTCTTTTGGTCTTCAAGTTGTAATCAGTATTATTTAATAGTTATATTATTATTTGATGGTTATTTTGCTCCCAGATTATGGCCTCTGATAATCTTTGGTATATAAACATCAACCCTAATAATCTATTCTGTATTGGTCGTCTCTCAATCTTTCCTTCTTCGCTCTTGAGGTTTTGATATTAACGTGTGTGTGGGGGGGGAGGGGGGGGCACCTGATGATCTAGTTCCCGACGCTCAGGTATCGCCGTGCTGATCCTGGTTGCGTCAGGGCTTGTTGCAGACCTTCGTACCGTCGTCTGAGTCCTGGTGATGTTATGTAACACCCTCCAGCGTCTGGTGGTGTTGTGTATACTTGTGGTGTACACGTCTAGTATTATACCTGTACACTAAGCATATTTTGTACATGTATCGAACTAAAACACGCATGATTACACCTCCAACAAAAGCACACATGGTGTACGTGTCCCTCCCAAAAACACACGTGGTGCAAACATCCGACAAAAACAGTGGCCCCTCCCAGTAAACACACAGATCCAACAAAACAAATAACTGGTGTACACATCCAATAAAACATACACATGGTGTACACAGGTGGTGTACACTATACTTGTACATGAAGAAAACACATACCAGATGACTCATTCGGTGTTTTATTTATAACCCGTAAAATTAGTGACTATTTCCAGCGCCTTGTATCGACTAACACCCCTGCCCCCACACATGCGCGCATTCATACACGCCAGGGAATGCACGCCGCAACACGTAAATATTAGACGAGGAACGAACTATTGCATTCCTGTACCGACAGACATAACACCACTTCCAACACACACTTCCGGTCGACAAATTCCCAAATGAGAAAAATCCCACCAGATCAAAACTCACAACGAAAATTTAATTCCTTTAATCGTATTTATCTTTCTTGAGTGAGTTCCACCTGATCAGTTCCCGGTAACGTTTCTTCTTGTGGGAAATAATATAGCGGTATTTTCTCAGGCTAGGTTTAGTCCATATAGAAACCTCTCGGCTCTTACCTATGTACACAAGCGGTCATGTATGTAAGTTTATTAAATGTATCCTCGGTATTCCAGAGGTCATATCGCTCCCTGGAATACTGTTCTTGCAAGTAGTTCGCCAAATCGATGAAGAAATTTGAGGAATGTGGCTTCAATTATGGGGTAAAGGAGAATTTACAGTCCAGTGCATACTAAGGGTTACTGTAATGTTAATACACCTCTCCTGGTGAGCACTGGCAAGCTTTAAATAACGTGCTGGACACACCATCAGTGAAGAAGTGTCGTGTCTGGTGTCTATTATGGTCAACTTGGGTAATTTCACTGTTTCCAGCCAGGGGATATGTCATATATACGAATGTAAAAAGTAATTAACTCCATGTTACATTTTTGCCTCTCGTCGCTGGTAAGATTGTTCGTCAGTAACAGTTTAACGTCAACATTTAGTTCCTCTTCTTATTCTAAAATTCTCACTGGCGTAAAAGATCTTTGTTGTTGTCCTTTTCCCTTCCTTTCCCTCCCGTGTTATGGTAGCCAGACGACGTAGACAAAACTCCGTGTGTGGACGCCACTTACCTGAAGGTGCAACAACACTGTGACCTTTGCTTTTTATCATCATCCAGTAGCCGTGACCTGGCCCGAGGTTGGAGGAGTGGGGGCAGAACCACACACACACACACACACACACAGGGAGGAAGAGAGAGAGAGTGACACGTTCCTACCACCACCCTCAACCTCGGTATGGGGTGCACAATAAACTAGCTTCTGTTCGCGGGAAATTAAAAAAAAAATCCAAATTCTTGTATATTCAGTAGATGTGTTATTGGTGTTTGTTCTTCCTTCTTCAAACGTTTATTGGTTGTTCATGATATCTAAAAGAACATTGTAGGTTATCTTTGACGATCGTAATAATTAAATTGAAGATTATCAAATATATTATTATTTTATAGAACTTATTTATTTCAGATACAACTATATACGAGTGTTTAATATTTGACAGTTAACAAAGGGATGTGATTAATACAAATGTGTCAAAAACAAAAGCTATCTGGGTTGGTCAAAACACGAGGGAGCCTTCAATCGAAATGTATTATTATATCAGCTGTCTTGTGACCCTTATCGTGTATCTGGGGACTAAACTATACAACAGAGATAAGTAAAATAATAAGTATCTAATTAATAAAGAAAAAAGATGTAGCTAAGATGATGTCACCTGAGTAGACACACCTGTACTTACGTCTCAAGGATCACGGTGGTAAACAGCTGAGAGTGACTCCACCATCGGGAGGACTGATGTGTAGTACGACCTTCACGTACACCCCGAGAGGAAAACCTGATGACTGACCCACTCACGGGGGGGAGAGGTACCACCCACCATGAGGAGTGAGAGGTGAAGCAAGAGGGTGGTGCCAGGTCATGAGTGTGGGGGAGGGGGGTGGCCATGTGCTCCATATTTAGGTGTTGAATATTTCCAGGACGCAGGTGGTAACGGTGTAGAGGGTCTTGTAATGGAGGTTGGTTTTAATATATTCTGCCAGAGAGGGAACGAGAATGAGAGAGATAGAGAAGAGAACGAGACTTTGAACAAGAGAGAGACAGAGAACCAGAACGAGAGAGTATAAAATAATTCACATAATACAAATATAGCAAAAGTGTGTGTGTGTGTGTGTGTGTGTGTGTGTGTGTGTGTGTGTGTCCAGAACGCTTCCAAACTGATCATTGTCGTTCATTAACCACAGTTCCAAAACACACACACACACACACACACACACACACACACACCATTAATAAAACAAACACATAAAAACAAACTTAAAATGTGTTGAATTATTTTTATTATTTTATTCGTGCGAGAAACAATTTGAAAACATTTGGTGGTGGTCCGGCATAATGTAGGTCAGTTATCGACCAGTGTCAGCCAACTGCTTATATGGATCACGGTGCTGGACCTATCATGATGTATTACTTGATGATGAAAATAATGATAGTAATAGAATAAAAATAATAGTACGGGTAATGATGATGATAGTAATAATAATAAAAAACAATAATAACGTAATAATGACAATAATAATAGTAATAGTTAAAGCTTCCTAATTTTAGTTTCCATACACCGACAAACATGATATAATATGTATGTCTTGACTCTAGAGAGAGGTTAGTTTTTATATTGATTTTTGGGGTTCAAGAAGACGAAAAATTCACTGAAATATGATATGACGTTTCCTTACGCTAACGCCCTAATGTTGTGTCGTGACGTTGGCCCTAATAACAGATGTCGTTTTCTGTTGATTAAGGGCGACTTAGTTAAATTTCGTTTTTTTTTTGGGGGGGGTGTGTTGGTGTATATTATGAAACTTTAAATTAGTTTTGATTTTATATAAGGTAACGTGTTATCCTTTTAACTATTACATCATGGCATAACGGTCTTCATCACTTGTAACAACATCTGGGCTCCTAAAAAAAACATGGGCCTCTCGATCAGTTATGGGCCTGCCCCCACCCTCTCGCTGGCTAAAGAGGTAGTGAGTGTCAAGTAAAGGAATGGTAGTGTTGTTGTTGGTAACGTCTAGTCTAGAGGGAGTGGGTCAGGGTCGCTCTTGACACCCCACCGAAGTTCAATAATTGGCGGGAACTACACGACCGCGGAACCCATACTCGGTGCGGGTACAAAGCTGTCCTATACCCAGCCGGAAGAGTGGTGGTGTAATGCTGTATATTTATCTTACATATCTTCTACTTCTCCAATATAAATAATAGATAAGTTAAGGTGCGGTTAGTGATGCTGTAGCCTGGGTTAACATACCAGGTTTCAACTAATGGTGTTCTTCCGGAATCGACTCCCTTGTCGTTTACAGCTTTACACCAAGAAATTCCTGAACGTATCACTATAAAAACCTCTTATAATATGCGTTAGATTAAATGCGCTCCGGTCATGCGTAACTAATCACTTTCCAACACTAATATGCGGGAGATTAGTTGACCTGAACAATGATCTGTGGATATAACCAGTTATGCCCTATCTTGGTGGGTCATTGACAGAGACGCCAAGAAAAATATCAGTCACACTCAGTCACATATTTTCCACGGTGTCGATCAGCTGGACAGCCTAAACTTGTAAGCCTCTTAACTTATTCATAGAAATGTCGAACGTGTGTGCTCGGTGGCAGGACGCGAGTAGGATAATGTGACGAGGATGTTTCTGTAAGAGACGTTGTCGTGATGTGGTGCTGCTGGAGGTGTTGTGTTAGGATGAGAACAACACTTCAAGCTTTAGGTCATTTGTCTCGTATTTAATGTTTTTGTTGTTTTAGTGACCGAAAAGTTCCTGGGGATGGGGCAGTTTTGTGTCTGTCCTCCAAAGTTGGTTGTCGCAGTGACTTGCCTATAGAGTAATTGGATTAAATTCACTTTTTGTATGAACGTATATTATTAATTATTGCAGATTTTGGGTGGAACTGTTAGGCGTGTTGCTGGTTATAGTAATTTATAGTACTAACCAGTTTTGGAGGGTCGGGAAGATGCGCCATTTCCAGCGACTCCTGTATGCCTGGTTGTGGTCAATATCAAGTGTTGGCTCTGTTTCAACGAAATCAATGAATTCACGTTCAGTATCACATAAAACTGAACGAATCCTGTGTTTAACTACGAGTCATGATGTGGGATAAATATTGGAGAAATATTTCGTCTGTGTCGACCCATTAATGCTTGACGTGATACTGAATTCCTTCGTAGTGTTTTTAGTTGCCTCTATTGTATACGAATAACAAAAAGGCTCTAGTGTGTCAGATGTGAATGACATTAATATCCTGAAAGTGAGAAGTAGTAACCTTGTCCTAGATCCAGTGAAAGGGACCAATATAAACTAGATCTATACCATACGTCTCGTGACACTACAGT